GCGTGCGTGCGTGCGTGCGTGCGTGTATGCGTTGCGTTGGCCGTCCTTCAAACCACCACATTCTTGATTCACAGTATCAACTAATCTTGTCTCGCAGGTTGCCAAGATGGATGATGACAACGCCTTGTATCAGAGTGTTGAGGCTCTCCTGCGCCCTGCCGAGGAGGACTATAGTCACCAATCAACGCAGCCTGCGACGCAGCAGCACACGCGCAATTTTGACCTTGAATCCGGTTCAGCAGGTGGCGCACCGCCACATCGCGCGCCCTTGTATTTCATGAACGAGCATGGAGGACTTCAACCAGCCCAACAGGCCCCTTTGAGGGCATTGACCCATGTCTGGAGCCACCCACAGCCTGAATGCATGGACGAACTGCCTCAACGCTCCTCGCCAACGCCTGCATTTGTGTTTGGAGCTGGCCCGAGCATTGACCCGGCTAACCTTGCCTCTACTGGTTTCGTCGAGCCTCATTTTGGTCAGCCAATCTGAACATTCCCGATGCTGCGTAGAGCTCACCTGCTGATATTTATCGCGCACGCAGAACACTCGCCCCGACAGCATTCAATTGCGGGCTCGGGCCCAAAGACCCATGGTCAGCAATGATCTGAGCAGGGGTGCTAATCGCATACAAGTGGCTGATCGCTCGCATCCTATTACACTTGCGTTCACTTCCACTCACAACGCAGTGGTCCATGCTCGACAGCGGCATGGGGTGCAGCTGCAACCCGTATCAATCTTACGTGCGCTCTTCCAGCGCATACATGCCTCAAAGCACTCCTTTCTGATCCTGCTCCAGGCTCCGCTGTGATGTTTCCCGCTCCTCAGCGGACATCTTCAGGCCACTCTTTCAATTTCCCGCTTTCAACGCCGTTCAGAGCACCGTCTTTGACACGATGCTAAAATCCGATGACAATTGTGTGGTCACGGCGCCCACAGGAGCGGGAAAGACGGCAATCTTTGAATTCGCCATCATACGCATGCTTCAGAACCACGGCGTCAATGCCAAGGCGGTCTATGTTGCTCCAACCAAGGCACTGTGTTCTGAACGGG